AAATATATTGCTATAAATCAGCGCCAATAATTTTGGGACACCCTGTACAAACGAGTGTTTTTACCCTCCCACACGAGTCAGCTACCGGTCACCTGGCTCCGAGGGAAGGCTCGAGTATATATCGAGTCGAGATATAACCCAGGGACCATGCTCACATGATAGTGCGCCATTGCCACTAAACCAGCTCTGACCAGATATTTATTGAACTACAAACTATTTTCATTGGAGATTGAGAAACCATAATTTTATCGGGTTTGGAAGTAACTTCAGCTCAAGAAATGCAATATTCAGGTAGTTTTGTCGTGGAACTTCACAATTTCACCATCGAGATCGAGTTGAACATCAAGCGAAATGAAACATCAGGAAGAAACATATTTGAGGTTGGTCGTAATTCTTGACAAGCCTCTTCTTCTGCTGGGAAGGGCGCAGTAGCTAGAAACCGATATGTAGGTATTAAAAAACTACAAAACTGCGAGACACTAGATATGTATATGTGAGGAACAACTTACTGTGGAGCAGGGACCAAGGGGTCGACACATTCCTAGTTCTTTTGGCGGACACACGAGTACTGTGATATGATTGAGAGTATCGTTTGATTCTGGATAACTTCCTATCGGGAATTACACCAACCTGGTTGGTTTTTAGGTCCCTCACTGTGAGACAACTCACTCGGATGTCAACATTTTACTCGAGCAGAACTCATTACTGGCAATCATTCAAGGAACACTTCAGAGTACGGTGAGAGTTGGATCGATTCCTTTTGTTGTAATACCAGTTGATTTCGAGTTAACAATAACGTCAAGTAGCAAACTGAATTGATGAGCGAGCGGATTTGATGAGTATCACAGTAGCGTTCGTGGAGCAATGATTAGCAGGATGCCTTTCAAGTATTCGACGAGAGTCCGATTCTCCCAAACGCAAAACTTTCGGGAGATCGTCTAGCTGTTTTGCGCATTGATCATGATGTCTATGTACCGGATTTCGAGTTGGAAATGGGTTTCATGTGAGCGTTTGTGGTTTAGTTGTCAGCATGGATGCTTTCTAAGGGCTCGTCATGAGCTTTTCCTCTGTACCCAATAAATTTTAGAAATGGCGAGTTTCCTACAGTAATGCGTTGTCGCCTTTGCTGATGCTGATCTCTTCGGTTGATAATTCGCAAAATTTTACAGATCCTGTCTCAGTGAATTTCCTTTGATCTTTTGTGTTTTATGTTTTTTTCTTTATTCATTTATTTTGCTCCTATACGATTCGAGTGCTTCTTTAATGTGGAATAATATCAAAATACTTTCTATGGTGGGCGCTTTCCTCAAGCCTAGCTTTAGAGCTTCGCGTCCGTATGCCAACTCGATTCGGCAGCGTTTTCTTTCAGATATCAGATGCGGTCAGAACCCAAATCTGTGAGACTATACTGGATGCAGTGAAGTTCGTTGACGCTCATGAATTGCAGGTACGGCTCATCCGTGTACGCTTAATCTCTTTTCACTGAAAAAGCCAGGCTATCTCCGTGTGCGAACCATAGCGGAGGGCTCCACTCTCCTGTCTCCCCTCAACTTAGGTCCACTCCACTTCAAAATGACTTTGCTTTTGTTGCGTGACTGGATCTTTTGGAAAGTGGTCCTCTTTTCATTCGGGACGATAGGGATTTCTTCATGATGCATTTTTCTCGTCTTTCTTGAGCGATTTTTTTCAACTTACACCTCTCCTATCCCATTGGATCCGTTGGATTGATAATGATTGATTACATGGCGTTTGGTTCTCCATCAAACTTTTAGGAAACTCTTTTTTTTTTTGAAAGTGCGACTGTTTTTGAAGGCAGGCGAATCGCACCCACTCTGATTCCTCACTTTCTAACTGTTGCAACATTCCTGACTTCTATCTTACTCATGATTTCGTTCAAGCCAATGGACCACGATAAATACGGTAGCACAACGACACCTACTTCTGTAACATCTGCTGAGTCGGGCTTTGATCCAGCAGAATTTGGTGCCAGCCTTTGTGAGGTCTGTTATAAACCTGTTGTTTATGTTTATTTTCTGTACAAATTGTAGTAGTACCTAGGTGCATTTTCCAGATCCAGCAACTTAAGGAGACAGCCGCTTCTTCTACAGTTTCGCCGACCTCCAGTGATAATTTGAAATCTCAGGGATCATCATGGAGTGCCAATCTCGCTCTAGTTTATCCTCCCAGATTCAGCGACGAGGTAGAGTTGCTTGAATGGATGCTGTGTTACATTCAAAAAAGATGAATCGTATGATTCATATCAGTTGTTCGGATCCATCAACTTTTCTAGAAATGAACCCCTCAAATGGGCATTATGGCATGTGGCTAAAATTTCTTATAGGGAGGGGGAATGTTCTGACAATGTGCTCACTTTCAATGTCCTACTCTTGAATACCATTTGTCTTCATCATTTTGAGCGCATAATACGCCTTCCAACCTTCCTACCCCCTCCTTCCCTACCTTCAGTTACGTACACCCGGGGAATATACCAGTGAGGAGAAAGAACTAAGGATAACGGATAAAGTCGTCGGCATTAACTAGCCCCGTTGCCGGAACGCGCCTTCGCATTCGACTTTCATTCAAGATCGTAGTGGTGGTTCGAATGCGTATGTGACTAGGGCTTTCGGCGGCCATCCCATGCACAAGTTAGTGCTTTTGTCGTCTGAGGCAAGACTAGTGCCAATTAACCGACCCTGGGGAGCTGGGAGGGGGG